TTGGTGGTGATGAACTCCTTTAACTTTTTCTTGTCTGGGAAACTCTTTATATGGCCATCGATTCTAAATGACAGCTTTGCAGGATAGAGTAATCTTGGTTGTAGGTTCTTGTTTTTCATCACTCTGAATATTTCTTGCCACTCCCTTCTGGCCTGCAAAGTTTCTTTTGAGAAATCAGCTGACAGCCTTATGGGAATTCCCTTGTAGGTAACTAACTGCTTTTCTCTTGCTGCTTTTAAGATTCTCTCTTTGTCTTGAACCTTTTGCATTTTGATGATGATGTGTCTTGGTGTGGGCCTCTTGGGGTTCATCTTATTTGGGACTCTCTGTGCTTCCTGGACTTGTATGTCTGTTTCCTTCACCAAGTTAGGGAATTTTTCTGCCATTATTGTTTCAAACAGGTTTTCAATTTCTTGTTCTCTCTCTTCTCCTTCTGGCACCCCCAAGATGTGAATGTTGGCACATTTGAAGTTGCCCCAGAGGCTCCTTACACTATCCTCATTTTTTTGGATTCCTTTTTCTTTTTGCTGTTCTGATTGGGCTTTTTTTTTTTGCTTCCTTATATTCCAAATTAGTGGTTTGCTTCTTGGAGTTACGTACTCTACTATTGAATCTTTGTAAATTATTCTTTATTTCAATTAAAGCCTCCTTCGTTTCTAACTGTGCATCCATCATTTCTGACTGGTCCTTTTTTATGCTCTTGAGGCCCTCACTAAGTTCACTGAGCATCCTTATAAGCAGTATTTTGAATTCAGCATCTGTTAGGTTGCTTATCTCCATTTTGCTTAGTTCTTTTCTTAGGGTTTTGTTCTGTTCTTTCATTTGGGACCTGTTTCTTTGTCTCCTCATTTTGGCTGCCCCCCTGTGTTTGTTTCTGTGTATTACTTACGAGCGGTATGGGGCTATCTGAGACCAGATGCTGCTTATTTGAAAGAATTTAGGCCCTGGCCAGTTTTGCTCAGCGGTTAGAGCATTGGCCTGCGGTCCGGAGAGACCCGGGTTTGGTTCCCGCTAAGGGCACGTACTTCGGTTGCAGTTTGTCCCCGGCCCTGGTTGGTCGTGCGGGTGGCAGCCTCTCGATGTGTCCCTTCACGTCGATGTTTCTCACTGTCTCTCCCTTCCTCTCTCTCCCTCCCATTCTATCTGTACAAAAAATGGAAAAATATCCTCGGGTGAGGATAAAAAAAAAAGAAAGAAAGAAAGAAAGAATTTAGGAACACCTGAAGCAGGATCCAAGACAGGCCAATCCTATGATTAAGCAACTGGCACAGCTTGGGTGGGCCTGAAAGTTGGGTGGGGTGGGGCCTCAGGGAATCACCAGGGCGGGGCTACCAGTGTGAGCCAGGTTGCTGGAGTCCCAGATATGGCAGCTGTCTGCCGCCCCAGGGAAGGGCTCACCAAAGGAACAAAGGCCTCTGACAGCACGTTTGTCCTGGAGAAAGCCCCCTCTCCAGCCCTTGCTCCAGTGCCAAACAGCTCAGTTCTTCCCTGTATGTTTCTGGCACCCCTCGAGCTGCCTCCCCTTCAAGCTTAGAGGGAGTGAGTCCGGTAAGTCCGTGCGCGGGCCTTTTAAGGAGCTGCCTGCGGCTCCAGCCACGTCAGCTTCCCTGAGCCTCAGTTTCCGCCGGTTTTTCCAGCCAGAAGTTATGGGGACTTGTCTTCCTGGCACTGGAACCCTGAGCGGGCGTCTGGTGTGGGACGGGGACCCCTCAGTCCTCAGAGAGGACCTTCCTAGCCGCGGGAGCCTCCTGATTTTTATCCGCCACATGTGGGTGTGGGATCAGCCCATCCATCTCCGCCCCTCCTACCAGTCTTGATGCAGCTTCTTTAATTCCATAGTTGTAGGACTTCCATTCAGCTCGATTTCAGGCGGTTTTGAATGATGGTTGTTCTATAGTTTAGTTGTAACTTTGATGTGGTTGTGGGAGGACGCAATACCGCGTTTACCGTCTTTGCTTGGCAGTTCCTGATTTAGCTGCCTTAGCCAAGCCTGGATATCTTACTAGCTGTGGAGCTATCTCCCAGTAAGAGATTTACAGAAACATCTTAACGTGCTTGACCTGTGTTCAGCTATGCTTTTCTAGGAAGACAGGTAGCCATTTTTCAGGTTGCCATCCACATCATGGGGACTATGGGAGGAGACGAGTGGGAAATGGCTGTTGCGGGGACATACGAGACCTGGAATCCTGTTAGAGAGAAGGGAGTCACTTTACTCTGGCACTTGCCCAGCTGGCCCACTTAACATTCTGCCAAGAAGCAGACCACCCACAGCTTCGCCTTTCTCTTCCTCATTTGCATTAGGTGTCAAGTCAGCTAGATGCCAGGCCATTTGTGGTCAATATTCCTGGCACTGAGGATTCATGTGGTGCAATGCAGAGAGGCAGACATTGAGCAGTATGTGCAGAAGGAGGGGCTCTCTTCACCTACCCCTGATGTGGTGTGCAGTGGGCACCCATGGCCACCAGGGAAGCTGGGGTTGGCTGTGGCGCTGATGAGAATGCAGCGGCATGCTCTTGGCACTTCACCCACAAAGGGGCTTAGTATAAACAGTGGAACAGTGTTTCCAAACTGGCTTTTGTCTTATACCAGAAGTTTAGGGATAATTGAGGGGATAGTGACTAAGTGTGTGTTTCATTCCTGTTTAAGAGGCAGTGTTGAATCAGACAAACTCAAGTTTTAATCTAGGCACCACTCATTGGTTGTTTAATTATACTTAGCTTTTCTGAGTCTCAGATTCATCACCAGTAAATTGAACGTGAGGTTTTTGTGAGGATTAAGTGAGATGATACAGGCAAAAAGCCTAGAATGATACCTGGCATTTATTAGGTGCCCCAAACAGCATTAATCAGTGCTAGTGTGTTTCTCCTTTATTTACTGTACTTTTTCAGTTTATTAATTCAACAGAATATTGAGCACTTATTGTATGCCAGACCCTGTGCTGGGGACAGTGGGTGGAGGATGTCCTCTAATTAGATGAGTAGTCCATAACAAAGCTCAGTGCAGCAGAAACAATGATGGTGGCATGCACAGAGCTGAGACATTCTGTTTGAACCAGTGAGTCCAGGGAGGCTCCCTGGAGAAGATGATATTCGAGCTGATCATTCCTAAGTCTGGTGAAAGAGAAGGAAAGGACTCCAAGGAGCGGCACTTTTAGGGACATAAAGGTCTGAGATGACAGGATGCACATGAGGAAACACAAGTAGGGTCCTTGGGGTCATTTTTAGGGAGTGCCTGCTCGAAATTTCATTTCCTTAGTCCTTTCCTCCTGTCATTTTGGTGTATCTGTTGTGTTATGTTGGTGGAGCAAGATGTGGATTCCTGAAAGGGGAGCAGGCACTGTGAATCTTTGAGTGTACACGACACACACTCTTATGTGTGTCTTGTAAAGCCACTTGGTAGGATTTGACTTTTTTCCTTTGTATATGCTTCTCTACTGTAAGTGCATAGAATGTAATCGTTCCCTGCACAGTATTTCTAGAGTTTAGACTTGATGGAGGTCCTTTAACTGTCACCTTAATCTGAGGTTCCTGGCATCAAAATCTGTTTGTAGCATTGATGCTGTTTTTAGCCCACTGTCATTTTTCATATCAGCAGTGATGATTTGAGAGGTTTGTGCTCTACTTGAGAAAGAATCCACGTAGATCAGCCTTTGCAGGAAAAGAGGGTGACATGTGTGGCTTCTGCAGGCTCTTTGTTGGCAGACAACACCCAACAGTTTCTGTAGCTGTAAACTGGAATCATGGATCTTCCTTCGCCATTGTTCTGTTATCAAAATATAAGGTCCTATCCCTGTTGAAGTTTGTGTTTTAAATGTAACTGGAACAAAAAAGTTCTCTGTTAACTCCTTCTTTTCAGCCACTCTGAAGATACTTGATGTGGAGGCCAGGATTCCATTCAGAATTATCCGAGATAAATGACTTCTCAGAAAAGGGTCTTTCCCCCCACCCTCACCAGATACTTTCATGAAATCAGGCCCACCTTTCTCTGCAATTGTGAAAACTGGAGAATATTTTGTGCATTTGATTTAGAAAGCAAGTGACCATGCTGAATAGACTGTTTGGGACCTGGAACTATAGGCTGGTTCAGAGATTTTGCTGTAGAAGAAACATTGAATGAGGGAACGTCTGAGACAGGCTCTCCATCCCTGAGATCAGCCCAAACTGAAGCCTGGGATTTGGAATAAAGAAAGCTTCTGTCCTCTTCTTGCCTCTATATTCTACTCTCTGAACTCTCCTGACCCACTGTGGTTGCTGGAAATGAAGCCATTTTAAGTAGAAAATGTTGGTATCTACTTCTATTTTGTTTCTTCTATTTCCCACCAACACATGGGATGGAATTTAAGTCTATACAGTTGGCAAGACTCTTGAAGAGAGGAAATTACTGTCTCAGCTCCAGAATGAACTCCAGAGGTCAGCAGGGAATCCTGTGCCCAGGTCTGAACTTGTCACACTGAACCATGACAGGCAGACCACACGAGGGCTGCTGAGAGTTGGTCAGGGAACAGTAGATGTAAAATATGTTTCTCAAGTGATCTTTGACCTTTCAGAGTTGGTTGATGAGGAGGAAGATATTGGCTGTTTTCTCTGCCACCCTGAGATTTGCCTTATTCCTAGCTGCACTGGTATTAGGTGAGGAAAGGAAGCCACTCATGTAAAGTTTGGATGGTGAGACAGAAAGATGTTTTTTGTCCTTTTTGGAGAGAGAGGAAAGAGTTCTGTGAGAGAGAGAGCGGCAACACGTGAGCAAACTCAGTGCGGAGCCTTCAAGTCCCAGTCCTCGGGACCTGAGCAGTCCCAAACCTGTAGTCAGATTTGATCGCATGAGGGCAGCAGGATGACCACTGAAAACACTCTAGGAATCTGGTGTTCTTCTCTCAGGGCTTCAAATGACAACCAAGACTGGTCACCCGAGAAATATTGAAGTTTGACTTGCTTACCTGAGAACCACTGTAGCGGTGGTCCTGGCACTGTAACATTCCCCATTGTTTCTCTCCCCTTCAGGCTGATGTACTTCAAGGATGCAGCTGTTGCTACTGGAGATGTGTGGCACCTTACCTGAGTCGGCCCATGAGGCCATGTGGCCGTGATGTGGGCCCCTCATGGCCTCAGCAGGAACAGGGCACTACAGTATTGTCTCCGTCAGGGAAACAGCTTTAAGCAGAGTGGTCCCTTGGTCAAAGTGCCTGCCCCGTCACCTGAGAAACTCTGAGAGCAAAGTCTGGGGTCCGGTTCATCAGCAGCAGCAGGTGAAACCGATCTGGAAGCTGGAGAAGAAACACGTGGGGACTCTTTCAACAGGGTTGGATCCACGCCTCTTGAGTGTGCCACCCCAGCCAGCATATTTCTTTTGCCCCAGCACTTCATGTAGCTCTGGGACCACAGCTGCCCTTGCAGGCCACAGCAACTCCTGTTACCTGTCTTCTCTCCCGGATTTGTTCAGCAGTACCCTGCTGCACCGCTGCTCCAGCTGTAGACACAAAGCATACCAGCCGCTGCAGTCTTTCTGCTTTCGTTCAAGCTCATCAGAAAAAAGACCTTTTTCTCTCCCTCAAAAGAGCCTCCCTGTCAGACTCACTGCCAATAAGGCCACTTCCATGGTCTCCCCTATGGCCCAGCCCATGGCATCCTCGTCCACAGATCCATACCTCTCACTGGGAGCCGCTGGGGAAAGCCCTTCAGGGAAGAGACTGGCCTCTGCCATCTCAGGGAAGATCCCATCTGTACTCTCTTCCCCTTCCTCCTCCTACAAGCCCATGCTAAATAACAACTCCTTCATGCGGCCAAATAGCACTAAAGTGCCTTTCTCACAGGCCACAGAGGGCCTGAAGCCAGTATCCTCACCCAAGATCCAACTTGTCTCCTGGCATCATTCAGGGGGCACTGGAGACTGTGCATTCCAGCCTATTGAACACAAGGTACCCAAGAGCAATGGCATTGTCCTACATGGTGCCCTTGCCCATAGCACCCGCTCTACCCCTAGCTGTTTAGATGCTTCTACCACCAGTGTTGCCTCCCGCCAGTACAACCAGAGTAACTTAGCTGTGAGGATAGAACCACATCCCTGCAGCCTAGATGGCGCCTCTGTTTCCCAGGCTCTGACCACAGAGGTTCAATTCACTGAGGCCGTGAGGAAGTTGACTGCAAGAGGCTTTGAGAAGCCGAGGCAAGGCTCCCAATTTGGACAGTCTTGTTTTATGAACCCCAACTTGCAGTGGGATCTCCTCAATAGGAACAGGCGGTGGAGATCTATGGTTGGCCAGCAGTTCCCTCATGAGGGTGCTGGAGCCAACAGTAGGATCCTCCCTGGAGCCTCAGATACCTTGGAGTTGGACAGTACAGTCTTTTGTACCAAACGCATCAGCATTCACCTCCTTGCCTCACACACCAGTGGGCTCAGCCGCAGCCCTGCCTGTGGATCTGTGATTGACTCCCCACCACCTGGGAAAGACAAAACTCCAGTTCTGCCTTCTCCCCGTCAGTCTTTTGGCTTAACCGATGTGGCCACCTGCCTCTCTTCCATTCATCTGGGCCAGCTTGGGAAGGAAGGGCCTAAAGAAGCCAGGGAGCTGGATTCACCTGCTAAGGGTGTTAGGTAAGTTAGAGAAGGTTTTTGGTTCATTTAGAACAGTAAAATGTACATACCAAAATTTGCTGATATTAACCCTATGTCTGTGAAAGTTGGTTTTATTTATTAGCTGCCCTAGAATTATGGCTTTTACTTTAGGGCAGAGGTCAGCAAACTACAGCTTATAGGCCAAATCCCACACACTGCCTGCTTTTGTAAAGCTTTATTGAAATGCAGCCTCACCATACAGTTACTGCTGTGTATGGCTGCGTTCTCGTTGCTGTGGTAGAGTTGAGTAGTTGTGACAGACTGAATGGCCACAAAACTGAAAATATTTACTGTCTGGTTCTTTGCTGACTCCTGTTTTAGGTTATAACTAGGGAGAAATAAAAATTCTAAACACCACGAGCTGGGTAACTTCTCGACTTAATTTCAAACCAAATCAGGCTCTCAGTCATTCTTGGTATGACAGCCATTTCAGAGTTAGGACATACATATGCTGGGCGTTGTCTCCTGAATCCTTGTTCCTAACTTGCTTCACCAAGGTCTTCCTTGTTCTGAGTTCCCAGACAGTGGTCTAGGGACTTTGAAGTCAATTACCAGACATTCACTGATGGTGTTTTGAATACAGAATTTTGGTTTTATATGCTCTGAGGGACTTCAAAGAAGGTGGAAGACATAGTATCTCTTTGCAGAATTGGGGATGGAGGGTCGAGGAGCCATGGCTAGACCTAAGCTCTGAGGGCAAGGGAAAGAAATTGTGAGATTCAGGGAAGAGACAGCAGATTGGTGACTGGGGAAGAGATAAACATTGGGAGATAATGAAGGAATGAGAATCTGTGACCTCTGTTATGGAATTGGCTGGGCTGGGGGGGCATGGTTCTTCCTTATAGTTCAGCTACTGACCTCCAGCTAGACCAGGCTGAGGCTGAAGATTTAGAAGAAGAGCTGGTAGATGGTTTGGAAGACTGCTGCAGCCAGGATGAGAATGAAGAGGAGGGTGAGTAGGGGACCCTCTCACCTCTAACTGGGAATTGGTCACCACTGCTCTGGAACGGGGCTAACAATTATGTACCAGGTCCTTAACCCATTTTATCACCTGCATTATTCATTTGCCTTGGGGGTCCAAGGGTGGTGGGTAGTGGCTTTTGAGGAACTCTGTTCTGTAGTCCTCCTGTCCCACAATCTTGTCTTCTCCCTGCTGCTGTTGAGCTCAAGGGAGACAGTGCAAGGCAACAGGTGGTGCTCATGGCTCCACCAGAAGGCTGAGTCAGCATGTCCAAGGAGCGCTGCCTCGGCTTAGTGACTTTGTGTAGCAGCCTCTCCCACTCAGGACTCTCTGCTTCCTCCCCCAGGAGACTCCGAGTGCTCCTCCTTCAGTGCTGCCTCTCCAAGCGAGTCCATAGCAGTGATCTCTCGGTGAGTTGGGTAGATTGCTAGTAGATTCTCATTCCTGTCTCTTTAAGATAATAAAGAGATTAATCACCTAAGTCATTAATGGCCTTGTTGACCGTCACTCATTTTTACCAAAATTTTAAATTTGGGACTTTAGTTTTCAAACAAGGAGCAATGGAAGGGACCAGAAACATATTTTGTCAGTTGGACTTAAAAACAATACCATGTTTCTTAGGCTATAATTTGGTCTTTAGGCTCCAAGAAACTGTTCAAGTAAAAAGCAAATAACTTCAAGAAATGGTTAGAAAATTAATAATTAATGAAGAAATGTAATGTTTGAGATAAATTATTAGTTAGGCCGCCCACGTGAGGGTAATTGCCCCCTTGCATTATAAACATGTCCCACTGTCAAACATTTCTGAAGTCGATGTACCACTAATTGGAGCTTTTTGAAATACTCTTATGCTGCCTTTTGAGATTAGTCTTACATTGGTAAATAAGACTGGCATTAGCCTCAGTAATAACAAATTGAATTAAGAATTCTCTAGCTTTAAGTTAGATTATTTTATTGACTGCCCTTGGTGGAGTCTAAGTGATATCAATCCATCTCTAACTAGGGAACCAAAAGTTGATCTCTTAACCTAGGCCCTTCTTTTGTGAAACAGGTGGTTGTAGGATGTTGCATATAACTGAGATGGGGCATTGGGGGAGAGGGAGGAATGCAGGACTACTATGAGGACGTTACTATAAATGACGTTACTGTGCTAAAGAGTTTTAGAACTTGCTAAAGGATCATATACACTACCTTTCTGGGTAGAAAGTTAACATCCTTCAGCATCATCTTTCTTATGCTTCTCACCACATGCAACCTCATCTCTCAAATGAGGCTCTGTCATCAATTATATTGTTTTATTAAATATTAAGAAAACCTGCTTCCCAAAGTACTAAACATGAAAGTTTTTTGTTTGTTTGTTTGTTTGTTTTTGTTACTCTTCACCTGAGGATATTTTTTCCATTGATTTTTTTTTGGAGAGAGGGACGGCTTGGGAAGGGAGAGTGAGAAACATCAATGTGAGAGAGACACATTGATTGGCTGCCCCCTGCACAAGCCCCGACCAGGGCCAGGGATAGAACCTGCAACCCAGGCATGTGCCCTGAACTGGGAATCGAACCCACGACCCTTCAGTGCACAGGATGATGCTCCAACCACTGAATCACACCGGCCAGGGCTAAAGTTTTTTCTTTTTAAAAATACACTAAAAATGTAAAAGAAACAAACTATATATAAATAACTGGCATTTTCCACCAACTTACACCATACACAAGAATAAACTCAAAATGGATGAAAGGTTTAAATGTGACTCATGAATCCATAAAAATCCTAGGCAACAAAATTTCAGACATCACATACAGCAGAATTTTCACTGATACAACACCTAAGGCAAGAGAAACAAAGGAAAAAGTAATACACAGGACTACATCAAACTAAAAAGCTTCTGCACAGCCAAAGAAATGGAAAGAGAACCCACTATATGGGAGAGCATAATTGCCAACAATACATCAGATAAGGGGTTAATTTCCAAAATGTATAGAGTGCTCATACAGCTCCACAAAAGGAAGACAAAGAACCCAATTAAAAAATGGGCAGAGGACCTAAATAGACACCTCTCCAAACAGGACATACAAATGGCCAAAAGACATGAAAAAATGCTCAACATCACTAATCATCAGAGAGATGCAAATTAAAACAACTGTGAGGTATCACCTCACATCTTCCAGAATGGCTGCCATCAACAAATCATCAAACAACACATGCTGGTGAGGGTGTGGAGAAAAGGGGACTTTAGTACACTGCTGGTGGGAATGCAGACTGGTGCAGCCACTATGGAAAACAATATGGTGTTTCCTCAAAAAATTAAAAATTGAACTGCCATTTGACTCAGTGATCCCACTTCTAGGAATATATCCTAAAAATCCTGAAACACCAATCAGAAAGAATATAGGTACCCCTATGTTCATAGCAGCACTATTTACAATTGCTAAGATCTGGAAACAGTCCAAGTATCCATCAATAGATGAGTAGATAAAAAAGCTGTGGTACATATACACAATGAACATTATGTAGCCGTAAGAAAGGTCTCGTGTCCTTTGAGACCATATGGAGTGACCTGAAAAGTATCATGCTAAGTGAAATAAGCCAATCAGAGAAAGACAAATACCACATGATCTCACTTATTTGTGGAATATAATGACCAAAAAAAAAAGCTGATGAACAAAACAGATCAGAGACATAGAAAGGAGTATGGTTCAGAATGACAAATCTCGGAGGAGAGGGGCATGGGGAAAGGGATGAGATAATCCAAAGAATTTATATGCATGTATGCGCAACCGGTGGACATAGACAACAATGCTGAGTGAGAGGCGGGATAGGGAGGAAGGTGTCTGCGGGAGGGGAAAAGGAGAAACATCTGAAACAAAAATAAATTAATAAATAAGAAAAAAAATAATTGGAGTTTTGTTTTTCTATTTTATTGGTTGATTTTAGAGAGAGGGAGAGAGAAACATCAATTTGTTGTTCCATTTATGTGTTCATTGGTTGATTCTTGTTTTTTTTTCTTATTATTGATTTCAGAGAGAGAGGAAGGGAAAGTGAGAAAGAGAGAGAAACATCGATGAGAGAGAACATTGATTGGCCGCCTCCTGCATACCTCCATCTGGGGATTGGGTCCACAACCTGGGCATGTGTCCTGACCAGGAATTGAACCGGCAACCTCTTGGAGCATGGGTCGACACTCAACCACTGAGCCACACCAACCAGACCATTGGTTGATTCTTGTATGTGCCCTGACCAGAGATTAAACCCACAACCTTGGTGTATCAGGATGACACTCTAACCCTGAGCTACCTAGCCAGGGCTCTATTTTATTTTTATAAATAAAATTTTCTATTCTAGCCCTGGCCAGTTTGGCTCAGCGGTTAGAGCGTTGGCCTGCCGTCCGGAGAGACCCAGGTTCGGTTCCCACTAAGGGCATGTACCTCGGTTGCAGTTTGTCCCCGACCCTGGTTGGTCGTGCGGGTGGCAGCCACTCGATGTGTCCCTTTCACATTGATGTTTCTCTCTCTCTCTCTCTCTTCCTCTCTCTCCCTCTCACTCTATCTGTACAAAAAAAAAAAAAAGAAAAATGTCCTTGGGTGAGGATAAAAAAAATAAAAAATAAAAAATTTTCTATTCTAATTTTAATAAAATTCAGCCAATGTATCAAGGCTTGCGTAACATGTGGAGTAACCAGACTCAGGTTGCTTTTCTGTGTATCAGCTGTGCCTTAGATAAAGCTAAGAGGAAAAGGAGCTTCCTATGCCTTGGTTAGTATGGACAAAGCAAGCTGCATCTCTGTACATATGACGGTGCAGTAGCTGTAATAGTTATGGAGCTCAAACCAGCAAGGTGGGGAGAGCTGTTTGGAAAGTGGAGTGACAGAATCAGGACTTTCTGTGAAGGTGGATAGAAATCCTGTCATAGGTACCCTAGTCTGGTGCATAAATTCTCTTACTTTAAGCCTAACCTATCCTCCTTGCAGAAAAGCAAAGCTACTTCTGGTTGTGTATATTGGATGTTGGCTAAGCACCTCCACTCTCCCTAGAAGAAAGATATTTGACGTGTAATTGACTTGGAGTCCCACTTATTTTGTGCTTAAGGGTGGTTTGGGTTTGAATTTAGGCCTACTTCAAGATAGCTGCATAGCCTATAATTTAACCTTTCTGATTTATAAGATAAAATTCACAGAAGGTATTTGTTAATAATTTGCTCATTCATTAATTTAACTCCTACAAATACACAGACTTTCTTATTTATTTGAGGCTTAAAACATTATTTATCTGAAGCTTTTCAAGCACATGGAGGTTGAGGAATTCGAGCCACTTTGCATTTTAAAGATGACTAAAATCAGAAATTCTTTCAGATTGCTAAAATCATTTTTTTCCCAATTATGAAAGATTTATATGTTTAATATAGAGAATTCGGCAATTACAGAAAGATCATTGAAAACACTGCTTCTTTTTCTCTACCCAGTAATAGTTTATTACATTTCTAGTTCTATATTCTCTTTTCTTTAAAAAATTTTTTTTTTTTTCTTTATTGATTTTAAAGGGAGAGAGAAATAGAAACATCAACGAGACAGAACATCTACTGGCTGCCTCCTGCATGTCCCCCAATGGGGATCTGGCCCACAACCTGGGCATATGCCCTGATCAGGAATCGAACCGGCGACCTCTTGGTGCACTGAGCCACACTGGTGCCTATATTCTTTTTTCTAAGAATTGTGTAATTTTAGAGATGGAAGTCATCAAGTCCAGCCTCTTTGTTCAGATGTAAAAATTGAGGACCAGGGAAATTAAGTAGCTATTGTAAAAGCAGGGTCATAGTTTTCAACACTGTTAGACCAGAGGATACATCCAGTATCTTGAGAGGCGGCTAACCAAATTTTTCTGTTTTTATTGTTAAACTTATTTATTTATTTTTATTGATTTTAGAGAGAGGGGAAGGGAGAGGGAGAGAGAGTTAGAAACGTCGATGAGAGAGAATTTGACTGGCTGCCTCCTGCATGCCCTTCACTGGGGATTGGGCCCACAACCTGGGCATGTGCCCTGACCAGGAATCAAACTGGTGACCTTTTGGTGCATGGGTCAACGCTCAGCCACTGAGCCACACTGGCCGGGCGTCAAACTTATTTTTTAAACTTGATTTTGAGACAATTGTAGAGTTACATGCAGTTGTAAGAAATAACATATAGAGATTTTCAGAATTCTTAATTCATTTTCCCCTATGGTAACATCTTGCAAAACTATGGTATATTATAGTACAAGCAAGATACTAACATTAGTCAAGATACACTTCCATCACTGCAAGAATTCCTGCTGTTGCTCCAATAGCTGCACCTGCTTTTCTCCTACTCTCATTCCCTCTTAACCACTAATTTGTTTTTTTAATTTTGTCATTTCAAGGATGTTATACAAATAGAATGATGTAACCTTTTGAGATTGGCTTTTTTTACTCAGCATATTATCTGCAGATTCACCCAGGTTGTTGCACATATGGATAATTAATTTCTTTTTATTGCTGAATAGTATTCCATGGTATGGATGTACCATAGTTTGTTTAACCATTCTCATGTTGAAGGACAATTGGGTTGTTTCCAGTTTTGGGCTATTGTGAATAAACCATCATGTACATAATTTTGCATGAACATAAGTCTTTATCTCTCTGAGATAAATACCCAGTAGTGTAATTGCTGGGTCATCTGGTAGTTGCATATTTGTTTTTTAAGAAACTTCCAAAACTGTTTTCCAGAGTGGCTGTACCATTTTCTGTTCCTGTCTTGTTTTTGCTTTTTTTGTTGTTGTTGTTAATCCTCACCTGAGGATATTTTTTCCACTGATTTTTTTTGTTTAGAGAGAGTGGAAGGGAAGTAGGGAGGGAGTGGAGAGGGAGAGAGAAAGAGAGAGAAACATTAATCTGAGAGAGACACATCAGTTGGTTGCCTTCCTCAAGTGCCCTGACTGGTGCTGGGATCGAACCTTCAACCCAAATATGTGCCCTTGACCAGGAATCAAATCTGCAGCCCTTCAGTGTGTGGGCTCACGTTGTAACCACGGAGCCACGCAGGCCAGGACTTTGCCCTTTTTTTTTTTTTTTTCAGTTGCAGTTGACATACAGTGTTATCTGAGTTTCACTTGTCATTGTTTTTCAATTAACTAATTGTCCTTGATTTTCAACAATCTTAAATTCTGATACTCAGTAAATTAAAAGTCTTTGAAGTAAAATATTTTGGAAATGAATAGAGTTGAATTAATTGGAATTATTTAATTGGGAATTAGTATTTAACTTGACCTAATAAAATTATTTAAAAATCTCTAAAGTTTGCCTCGCTGGTGTGGCTCAGTGGTTGAGCGCAGACCCAGGCACCAATAAGTCGCCGGTTCGATTCCTGGTCAGGGCACATTCCCAGATTGTGGGCCCGATCTCTAGTGGGGTTCATGCAGGAGGCGGCCAGTTGATGTTCTCTCTCATCGCTGTTTCTCTCTCTCTCCCTCTCTCTTCTTCTCTCTCTAAAATCAATAAAGAAAAAAAAAATCTCTAAGGTTTAAAAGACTAATGTTTTACATACCGTGCTTATTTCTGTTGTGCCGCAAAATAACAGGTACAGTGGCTTTTTATAAACTAAAAATTCATCTTAATTAGTAATTTGTGGATCCTATCAGCTCACTATAGAGAGTAATACTCTTCTTTCCATTTCCAGTGCTATTTAAAGAAACAGTCTGGGTCTGTCAGCTTGTACCTGATAGATAGTTGAGATAGTCAGTGTTTTGAGACCCCTTGAGACAGCCTTGGCCGAGCCAGTGTTGAAACAACCATGTGGGACTGCATGGCCCTCGCCCCTGATTCCCAGACCTACATTACCATACTGTTACATAACCGGCTGGTGTTAAATCACTTCCCAAGTGGAGGAGAGCATTCATCCACCATGTTTACCTTCAGAGAAACCTAAATATAAAATGGGGTAGAAATATCACTACTTCTTTCTGTTGCTTTTTACCTTTTTCTTTGTAAACATCTCTACCTCATCTTAGGTATTTTCTGCTTTTCCTTTTTTAATTATCTAGATCATTCCTTTTCTCTCTTTATTTGTTTCTCTTTGTCTTAGTGTACCTCTACTGGTATTCACCCGGACTCCTTACCTGCTCAGAACCACTCCTTTCAGGGATTCCCCAGCCTGTGTCCTATCACAGCAGGTTTTGGAGCTGTGTCACAGAGTGAAGCATGGGAAAGCCTTGTTTCTGGTGACATTGAGTGGTGTGGCTGAATACAGCTAAGCCCTAGCATCTTATTGATTAATATTTGCAAAATAATTGTTGGCTACTTGTCTTTATAGAAGTTCTGTCTGTCTATCTATCTATCTATCTATCTATCTATCTATCTATCTATCTATCTATCTATTTTTGGTATGTGCCCCTAGTGGGAACCAAACCTGAATTCTCTGGTCCGCAGGCCGATGCTCCAACCGCTGAACCAATCCAGCCAGGGCAGTAGAAGTACAGTTTTAAAGAGAGCACCCCCAAAGAAATTATGTGTAATAGTAACAACACTTCAGGGCTGTGGCTTCCCCGTTCTGTACCACATGTCTGTTTCTCTTCTTAGGGACTGCATCAAGTCTCTGACCAAACCTCTTTCCAGTGAGAAAGTTGTCCGACCAGCCCTTATCTACAGTCTCTTTCCCAATGTGCCTCCTACCATCTATTTTGGCACTCGAGATGAGAAAGGTAAACCTGGCAGTGTGCCCAGAAGAGCCCTCAGGAGAAGGTTGCTAGCGAAGTTGGGAGGAGGTGGCAAAGGGTGGCAGGGACTTTCCAGAATGGCTGTTATGGGGCTCAATTCCCCACCTGGTTCACCAGCCCGAAGTGGAGACCTTGTCTGTCCTTGAGCTGATGCTTCTCAGCCCCTTAGCTCATGCTTTGTTCTTGCCCTCTAACCTTGTTTCTTTCCCCTTTCAACCTCCTCTCCTTTCTGTTTCTCATTCCTGTGTTCCCCCCTTTCCCCCCAAAGCGTGCTGCTTTGAAACTCTGATGGGGAACAATACTTAGTGACTTGCCTACCCAGGAAAGGTTGAGCAATAGTGCCCTCTCTTTCCTCTTCTTTTTTTTTTTTTTTTTTTTATCCTCACCCGAGGATATTTTTTCCTTTTTGTACAGATAGAGTGGGAGGGAGAGAGAGGAAGGGAGAGGGAGAGAGAAACATCGACGTGAAGGGACACATCGAGTGGCTGCCACCCGCACGACCAACCAGGGCCGGGGACAAACTGCAACCGAAGTACGTGCCCTTAGCGGGAACCGAACCCGGGTCTCTCCGGACCGCAGGCCGACGCTCTAACCGCTGAGCCAAACTGGCCAGGGCTCTTTCCTCTTCTAACCATGACTGTCCTGCTCTCCTCCACCCCTCTACCCCTACTGTCCCCCAGTGGAGAAACTTCCCTGGGAGCAGAGGAAGCTGCTCCGGTGGAAGATGAGCACAGTGACTCCCAACATTGTCAAGCAGACCATTGGACGGTCCCACTTCAAAATCAGCAAGAGTGAGTCACTTGCCTTCCTGTCAGCCTGTCCTTGGCTCCAACAGGTGGGCTTGGGCAGGAAGGGAGCCCCTAGATACCTTCTGCTAAGTGGGGATCCTGTCCTGAAGTTGCCAGCCTCATAGGACATAGCTCTGAACTCCCTCTCAGATGGAGCCTGTTCCTCCAAATTGGAAGCCAGAGGGCCATTGTTCTCCCCTGGCCTCATGTAGGATAGCTCCATGGCAACTCTTAGAAAATGGGTCTAGGAGCTATTCCCAGGCCCAGGGGTATTTCTGGGCCCCTTCTCTGTCCCAGGGATTGACTCCCTGATGTGTTTTCTGTAGGAAATGATGACTGGCTGGGCTGCTGGGGTCACCACATGAAGTCTTCTGGTTTCCGATCCATTCGGGGGCATCAGAAGGTAGGGGCTCTTTCTGAGGTGCTCTTTTTCAGGGGTTTGGACTCGGCAGGAGGAGCTTGGAATTGGGGGAAGAGGTGAATGACACAGAGAAGTCAGGAAGGCTTATAGAGGAGTAGAGGAAGTGCAGGAGAGGGTGCAGTGTGAGACCCTAGCAGATCACCCACATTTGCAGTTTAGCTACAGTGACTTGGGCAGTCTCTTTATTCTCTGATATGTCTAGAGACGCAACATCTATTTTCAGTTTATTATATTTCCCCTGTAACCCTTGTGTTTTGCCTTCCTTCCTCCAAGCTGTGTAAAGTGGACTCTGTTCTCACGTTGGAATGAATGAGTTTCTTGTCGTTGTCCTATAGACTTGTGTAAGAAGACTTAATAGCTTTTTCTTTGCACTTAAGGAAGGTGGATATCATGTCTGCCTTCATCACTTATATGTCATGAACGATCACCTCCTGGAAGGCACTACATTTTGTTGTTTTGTCTTTTAATTATGTTTGGTGAGTGCTCGGCAGCTGGATACTTGAGGACCATGAGCCGGTGAGAAGAAGATGGAAGAAGAGCTTGGAAAGTTGCTAAGGAAGTTGGAATGGGATAGTGAGTCCTGCCATCTTCCTCATGGTCTTATCTGGGCTCTCTTCCTCCTCTTGCTCTTTGTCCCTACTGTAGCTAAACCACTTCCCAGGTTCATTCCAAATTGGGCGAAAGGACCGGCTGTGGCGGAACCTGTCCCGCATGCAGAGCCGCTTTGGTAAGAAGGAGTTCAGTTTCTTCCCCCAGTCGTTTATCCTGCCCCAGGACGCCAAGCTCCTGCGCAAAGCCTGGGAGAGCAGCAGCCGCCAAAAGTGGATCGTTAAACCAGTGAGTGGGTCACAGTGGGGTAGTGGGCCATGGCCTGAGAGTGGGAACAGCAGATTATTGGCCATGAGTGAGTCTCATCTGCTTTGCACTTGACTTCCAGCCAGCATCAGCTCGAGGCATTGGCATCCAAGTCATTCACAAGTGGAGTCAGCTCCCCAAGCGAAGGCCCCTTCTGGTACAGAGGTGAGTCTGCCTCCAGCTCACACCCCACTCCCCATTTTCTCAGCCTGGAGTTTCCCTTTTTACCATGTTCTTCTGCCCTTTGTCCTCCAACCCAAAGATTGTCCTCAGCCAACCGTTTTAGTCTTTATCTCGGGGACTGTTGGCTAACTTGCCATGGCTCAGTTACCCACTGAGCCCTCTCATCTGTCATGTTCCTGAAGCTGGCCTTTCCCTATGTAGGTATCTCCACAAACCCTACCTCATCAGTGGCAGCAAATTTGATCTGCGAATCTATGTTTACGTCACCTCCTATGATCCTCTGCGGATTTACCTCTTTTCAGATGGACTCGTTCGCTTTGCCAGTTGCAAGTATGTGCTAGTGGTGAGGTGTCATTCTGACAGCTTTGGGGGTTTGCTTTCCTGAGAGCAAGGGAAACTGGAGGACACCTGACAGAAAAATAGCAAATGTTTTGGTAGTTTTTGTTAGCAAAGGAGAAGGTGGGGTATATTTGGGAAAACCTAGTCTTCCTTTCCTCCTTTGTATGTTCTTTTACACAGAACACTTCACTTTTGATACTTCTGATCACCAAATATATGGTTCCCCTCCCCCCCACCAAGCAAATCTCTGCAATACCAGCTGGGTGTCCCACAATGTAACTCAATTCTGACACCATCTTCTTGCAGATAGTAGCATCAGTTCCCACAGGTTAAGAGCTCAGCCTCACAAGGCTCCCCACTGCCCACTTCAGATGCCGTCACAAGTCCACGTTGCCTCACATGCTTCTGATCCATTGGCTATAAATCAGAGGTTCCCAGGACCCCCTCCTAGGGCTCTATTAATTTGGTAGAGTGGCTCACAAGACTCAAGAACATAGTTTACTGGTTTACTATGAAAGAATAGGATAGCCCAGCCAGTGTGGCTCAGTGGTTGAGCATTGACCTAAGTACCAAGAAATTGCCAGTTCAATTACTGGTCAGGGCACATGCCCAGGTTGCGGACCCAACCCTCCAGTGGGGTGTGTGCAGGAGGCGATGTTCTCTGTCATTGGTGTTTCTATCTCTTTCTCCCTTTCCCTTTCTATCTAAAATCAATAAAGAAAACATCTTTAAAAAAAAAAAAAAAAGAATAGGATAGGATAAAGAATACAGATGAATATCCAAATGGAAAAGATGTGTAGGGCAAGGTACATGGGGAGGGGTGCATGCGGAGCTTTCATTCCTTTTCTGGGTGTACCATTCTCCCAACACCGCCATGTGTGCACCTTCCCAGAAGCTCTCCGAACCCCATGGTTTCGGGATTTTATGGAGGCTTTATCATGTAGGCATAAAGGATCATTAATTCCATTTTCAGCTCATCTCCCTTCTCAAGAGAATGGGAGCCAGGCTGAAAATTCCAAGCTTCTAATCATGGCTTGGTCTTTGTGGTGACCAGCCCTTGTCAAGGAGCCCTGTGTCAGGAACCAGGGCCAAAGGCCAGATATTAGAACAAAAGATGCTCCTAGTGCTCTTACCACTTAGGATTCTACAAGGGTTTTAAGAGCTTTGTGTCAGGAATTGGGGGTGAAGACTGATATATATGGTTCTTATTATAAGTCACAATATCACATGAGGAATGGGAAATACGGAGGTTCTCTGCTTCACTGAATCTGGGGAGGGTCTTTCTGCAGGACTGAGGTAGGATGTGGGGTAAAGGACATGAGTTTAGCTGTGGTGTTCTAGAAACCTTACCAATAGACATACTTCTGAGGCTCTTTTACATCTGAAAAGACCTGTCCACTTGTCCTTGACCTCTTGACCTCAGGATTTGGGAAAATGTTTGGACCACTGTCTCACCATCTTACCTCTGCCTTTCTCCTCTTTATTTCCAGGTATTCCTCTTCCATGAAGAGCCTTGGCAACAAGTTCATGCACTTGACCAACTACAGTGTCAATAAAAAGAATGCTGAGTACCAGGCCAATGCAGATGAAACAGCCTGCCAGGGCCACAAATGGTATCTAGGCAGTGTCCCTGTCAGTGGAGCCCCAGCGGAGCACAGGGCTATGGGGTTTGGGGAGGTTCAGGGAGATGGTGAATGGAAGATTAATATAAGACCCAAAGATTATTTCAACACTTGGCAATTCAGAATTGGTCTGTTTGCATCCAAGCTTATCTCTGTCTTGATTCAAAACATCAAAAGAAGAGACAGGAAGAAAATATCTTTGTGCTTCTTATTCCTTTTTCTTTCTCTTCATCATTTAATTCATAGAATATAACCCCAAGGACTCCTTCCCCTCCCCCACCTTGCAGGGCACTGAAGGCTTTATGGAACTACCTGAGCCAGAAGGGAGTCAATAGTGATGCCATCTGGGAGAAGATAAAAGATGTTGTTGTCAAAACCATCATTTCGTGAGTCACACTGCCACCCTGGTCTGGGGCCTGCCATTGAACCTCCTTCTTTCTCATGGGTTCCACACTGCTGTGCTGTAGTCCTTGACCATGATTTGTTTCAGTTTCTGAGAACAGGGATTAGGGGGGAGTAGATAGAGTTAAATTCTGCTCTTCTACTGAAATCCATCCCAGAATCTGGCCCCACATCAGAGGCCTCCCTTGAGAGCTGCTTTTACTGGGTTGCTTCTGCTCTCCCATCTCTGGGCCACTCCTTCTGCAGGGCAGCTCTGGGTAAGGCCTTCCTCCTCCCTATGACCAGGTCAGAACACTATGTGACCAGCCTGCTGAACATGTATGTGCGGCGGCCTTATAGTTGCCATGAGCTCTTTGGTTTCGACATCATGCTGGATGAGAACCTTAAGCCCTGGGTCCTGGAAGTCAATATTTCCCCAAGGTAGGTGGTGTTCTCAGGGCACTCACAGCAGAACCCTTTCTTCATCCTCATAATCTTATTTTCGCTCCAGTCTTGTTGACTTTGGGAAGACCCTTCGTTAGAATTTGTGTTTTTCCCTTTAACATCTGTTTGTTTGCTCATTTACTCATTCTTTGCCATTATCTCAGGGTTCTTTGAAGATGGAGAGGTTGTTAAAATTTGTTCTTTTGAACTTACTCCCATCGCATGCTTTTCCCTAGCAAATGAAGGTCCTGGGCAAGAAGCACCCCACGTAAGGTTATTCATTATCTGGGGAGCAAGAAGACCCCCGTGTTTGTGCTCATGAGTTTGAGTGGCAGAGTCCTTTTATCCTAGGGGTGCCAGGGAATAAAGGGGATAGCACTGACTTGGACATATGATCGGAAACAGTTCTGAAGTGTGTTTTTACCACTCTTTCCATCCTTTCCTTGAAGCCTCCACTCCAACTCTCCACTGGACATCAGCATCAAAGGCCAGATGATCCGTGACCTTCTGAACCTGGCAGGCTTTGTTCTGCCCAACACAGAGGATATTTCCAGCTCCAGCAGCTCCAGCAGCTCCACCACCAGGTCAGCCTCGTTGCCTACCTGCAGCTTGGCTGGCAGCATGAACAGCCCCATCGTGACTCTGAGAAAGAATGATGTCTGGGCGCTGCTGTCTGCTTGGTCTCCTTTGCTGCTTGATCTGCCCCCACAGTCTACCCACACACCTCTGCCATGTCTGTGCCCCTGAAAGCACGTTTGGTTATACTGTTCGCCTGCTCAGCAATCTCCACTGGGCCAGGGGACTCAGCTTCTCACGTGGACATTCAAGGCACCAGCCTCCTTTTCCCAGGCACCCCTACTTTATTCCTCTTTGGTTTCCGGGCTCTGACAAATCGGATCACTCGAAGAACCTCAAGGTTGGAAGGATCCTTAAAGAGCAGTTAACCAGTTTCTTCTCTGAAATGTTTGTTGCCTCTCACTGTTTCCCCCTAGTGTCCCCTCCTTTGCTCAGGGTTTCTTCCTCTTGAAATTCCCCATCTATCAAAGCCTAACTCAAGGCAGCATCTTCATTAAGCCAGCTCTGTGTGGGCTCTCTCCTCCACACTCCAGACTGCTCAGAGCCACTCTTTAGGGGAGGGGGCCAGTACCTGCTTTGTGTAAGGAAGGACCTATAACTCATTCCCACAGCAGCCCTATGAGGCTGGTAATGGTGTCCTCAGTTAACAGAAGAGGAAGCTGAAAGTAGCTCATCTAAGGTTATTCAGCTAAAAAATGGTAGAGCTGGAATTCAATTCCTAAGTTGCCAGTAACAAAAGTTGCTTTCCGAACTACCATACCTTAGAGACTCATGATTAGCTCTGTGCTATAGTTATTTGTCATTTGACACCTGCCATCCTGTGACCTCCTTGGAGGCCATCTTTGTGTCTCTCTCGGAAATAACTGTACTAACATGGACGATGAAACCGAGGTGCAGGGAGGTCAAATAGTTTGTCCAGGATCACATGGCCAGTAGGGTTGAGCTGGGTATTTAGTAAATGTTCATTAAATTACACTAAAGTATACAGCAATTATTCCAGGATCTTTTTTTTCTTTCACTACTGAAATAGAACCTAGAGAGGGCATTTTGTGCTCCCTTCTTTCCTTGGTACTTGCTCTTTGACTCTCAGGCAGGCTGATGAGTGGGGTGCATGCAGTCTTATCTCCTCAAGCAACATCTGTCCCTACTTTGTCTTTTCTTGAGAAGGGTGTCTTTCTGGGCTGCACCTTCTCTCCACATGTCCTCAGGATGTGAAGCTGCTGACTTTACCCTTTTTCCCTTTCTGTCCCCTGCCTTAGCCTGCCCAGCTCCCCCAGGGACAAATGTCGAATGGCCCCAGAGCAATTCACTGCACAGAAGTTGAAGAAAGCCTATTACCTGACCCAGAAAATTCCTGATCAGGTAGGAGACTGCCTTCCCCCCAGTGCCAGCAGAAGGCTTCCCTGCTCATACATTTGGAACCCCGAGGCAATCAGTTTTTCTTCTGTCTAAGGCAGGGTTTCCTAACCCAGGTCCACAGTCCCCTTGGCATGCAGAGATATGTTGGCAGTATGTCATTCTAGGAGAGAGTTGATGGCCTTTGTCATGCTCTTGGCAAAATGCTATACTAACCCACCCTTGTCCTCAGAGCTGTGGACCCTTTGGGTTTCTGTTTCTGAGGTGCAGTGAGTCCCTGGGAGGCTTGGCTTTCTCAGAGCAGGTGAGGGAGCCGAAGGAAGAGTGGCAGACACAAGGCTATTGCCAACTCTGAGTTGCTGGATTCTGATAGTGACCCCATGCAATAAATCACTTAATCTCTGTGCCCTGGTGGCTCCCCTCACCCTGACCCAGAATATCTTCATCCCCCAGCTAAGCTCAGTAGACTCTGGAACAGATGAGGTCCAGAGCTGGCCCACCAGGCTGCCTTGTGGTCCCTTGAGAATCCTGGGGCCCTAGGACCCCGAGTTGTGCTCCCTGTCCCCTAGCTCTTGATTCTCTGCTGCTGGCTGATATTCTCTGTCAACCTTCCTCTTCCCTGTTCCTGGGCCATAGGACTTCTATGCATCTGTCCTGGATGTCCTGACACCAGATGACGTTCGGGTTCTGGTCGAAATGGAGGATGAGTTTTCTCGCCGGGGTCAATTTGAACGAGTTTTTCCTTCTCGAATCTCTTCTCGCTATCTCCGCTTTTTTGAGCAGCCACGATATTTCAATATTCTCACCACCCAATGGGAACAGAAGTACCATGGCAACAAGCTCAAAGGTGATGTGTCCTCCCTGCCCATAGGACGCCATGTTTAGTGAGAGATTAAATCCCTGTAGACCAAGAAATGGGCCTCCCTGGCAAGAAGAGTTGGCCAATTGATTCCACACTCTTAAGTCCCACCCCTACTGCTTTTGTCCTAGGAGTAGATCTGCTTCGCAGTTGGTGCTACAAAGGCTTCCACACGGGAGCCATCTCAGATCCTGCTCCAGTGGTGAGTGATGCTGCCGGAGGGAGGGGTCAGCTCCCGCTCAGACTCCTCTCTCCTCTGCCGGAAGAGTGCAGCATGGGCTGGGTGTAGGTCCAGACCCTCTTCCTTCTCCCTCTGCCCTGCCTTTGTGTCTCGTGGCCCTTCTTTTTCAAGGGAATAATTGCCTCTAAGATTCCTTTTCTTTCAAAGGTCAAAAAGTGCTACTTTGTAGCCTCAACTTTTTGGCTGACTAAGGAGAAAGCCAAGACTTTTGCCCATATGTGTCCATGCCTGAAGGGGAGGGGAGGGCGAAGCCGGTGATCATCTCCCAGAGGCAGAGCAGGGAGAGAGTGCCAAGCCCTGAACGTTTTAGTCTCACTGTGGCCTTTGCTTTTAGTGGTCTCTCCCGACTGTCCCAAAGGGTGACGTGAAGCTCAGCGCTTTCTCCAAATCAGAGATTCACAACCTGGGGTGAGTGCTGCCCGGGCAAGGAAAGGGTATTTTGTTGGGTGTGGGTTCAGAGACTTTTAAAATATTTGTTTTCAGTTAGTTGACACAGTATTAATGGTAAGAGCTCAGGGAGTTTTGTTTCTTTTACTCTTCCCAGATTATGATGAGATCAGCATTTTTTATTTGGTTGATATTCAGAATATTCAGCTATAATATCCTCTTCCTGGTGGCTCTTGGTGTGCCCAGGAAGCTGAGCCAAGCACAGAATCATCTGCAGAGGTGGCCACTGTCAGCCATAGGCACTAGCTGTAGGAAACCTTGAGGCCTTCTACCCTCGCTCACACTCACACTTGCACTTAAGCTCTCAAGCCTTCAGATAAATAAAGTATATGTTATGATTATTTATACCTCCATATAATTATGTCTATAACATCGTAATGTGAATGCCCCGTCCAGCCCGTGAAGGCAGATCACAAGTTGAAGTCTCAGCTACAGTGTCTCAGCTATTTCTTCATCTCCACTCCCTTCCGAAAACATAGCTCCTCTGAGGGAATCATACCGCTCTCTGAAGATGGACTACACCCAAGCCCATGAAGACCCATGTTGGCCTTTTTTCTTCTTTCCCCAGGAAACCCAGTTCCTCAGAAGACAGTGAGGACACCGGTGGAGAACTCCGCCTCTCCATGCAGATGTCACCTGTGAGCAAGAACTCTGGGCGGACTTTGAGACTCTCTGCTTCCCCCGCCACCCAGTCAACTGTTGACTCCCTCCTGGTTGCTGTGAGCCCATGACTGGCCTCTTCCCACTAGCCCCTGCCCAGGAGCACCAGCGTAGCTACCTCATGGCAACTGCCCAGCCGGCCAGCCTGGGCCCCTGCCTCCTCCACCTTGCCCTCTTCAGAGTAGTTTTTTGAAGTGGTGAAATTACAGAGATGGGCATCTGGAGGGGTGGTGGGGACAGGGACAAGGTGAGGAAGGTTCACTGGCTGATACCTCATATCTCAGTAGAGAAGCCAACGGTGGCCACTCAGCCTTATAAAGCAGGGTTTGGTTTCTACCTTCAGAGAGCTGTGTGTGATTTATCGTAGGCCTTGGTGCAGTGATTGAATTAGAGGTCAAGAGGAGACAACAGTGAACATGTTTGGGCCTGAAGTCCTTTGTCTGTAATTGAGGAGGTTCCTCTGAAGTTTCTTATTTCCTCAGGTCTACCCCTTCCTTCCTCCCCCTCTGTCCTGAGGAGCTACTTTCAGAAACCGTGAAAACTTCCTCAGTGGACAGACAGGGACAGGCCATGGCATGATGAAGCCATGTCCTATCATGCTAGTCTAGAGGGAGCTTCACTGCCTGTAGACCATTTGTCTTTCCATACGTCCACCCAGCCAGTAGCCCCGGGTCTTATTCTGACCTTATATCACTACTTGGTCAACCTTCTAAACTTCTCAGTCATGCCTCTTCAATTCTTGGCTTCCTGAGGGTGAGAGGTTCTGTGAACTTTGTGAATTTCCAATGGCCCCAGTGAAGGAGCCTAGATAATTCCAGTTGCTGTTTTCTCTCCATATATCAAAGGACACACCCTAGGGGAGAGTGATTTCCCCACAACCCGGAGGAAGGCTCATAGTCTTTCTGTTTACTCCCTTCACTGTCTCTGATTAGTGGGCTCACAGGTCGCTAGGGCAAACAGAGTCTGGTGGCGTGGCAGGTGGGTTTCAGGAGCAGTCATTCATTGTAGGATGGGCTTCCAGTCAGACGACTGGCCAAACTCTTGTACTCTTAGCCGAATCTACCTCCCTCCCCAAGACTTAGTAAACAGACTGTTCAATAAATGTTTGACTAATGAACTGTACAGACGGAGATCTCCGAGGACATGAGCACCTGAACCTGAAGGTCTGCTTCTCTCTCCCCTGGGGCAAACTGGAGCCCAGGGGAATCCAAACTGGGAGAGTTTGGATCAGAAAGGTGGTTTTCACTTGAACCAAGCTCCTCCTTAACCTGGCACTTCCTGGTTGCTGCTTGCTCTCTCCCCAACCCTGTGATCCCTTTACTTTGTTTTTCTGCAGCAGGGCCCAGCAGGAAGCCAGCTAGCTCCTGTCTGATACCCGTTTTTCCTGTTGCATATCAAGCAGGAAGCTCTGCTCACAGCCCCACCGAGGGCTTTGCCTTTATTCTCTGAGCTTTGAAAAGATGGAGACTACCCTGTTTCATGGCTCCTGGAATTCTATGGCAAGCTGGGATGGAGACATAGAAAAATCTCTAGGAGGCCTGACTGGGTTTAAGGACACACAGGTAGGTGGCTGTGCTGGCCAGTGTGAAGGCTGTGTTGACAGTTGGGAAGAAAGCCTGGTGGCAGAGTCCTGGGTCAGCTCCTACTGCTCAGGAGCAAGGACTGCAAACTCAGGTCCAGCAGGAAAGGTCTATGAAGTCAACTCCCTCTTGTCCTATCTGGATGCAAAAATGTCACAACGAACCTTATGACAAGAACAGTAAGCAGCCTTCCTAAGAAAACTAGCCACCTGCTGAAGTAGTTTTGTTAGGGCTGATCCTCTGGTCAAGGGCTTAGGTATAGAGGCCTGCCTGAGCCGGTTTACTCCTTGGAAACCAGATGCAAGCAAGTCTTTGGTCTGCCTTCTGACAGTGCAACCAGTCCATTTCCATCCCTGTAACTGGAGAAGGGACCAGCATTGCAGCCCAGGGCCAGGGGGGCGGGGGGATTATGAAATTAAATGGCTGATGAAAATAGAGTGTTCTTAGTAGTTTAAAACATGTTTATATATACATTGTTTTTAATTTTTATCACATTTGAGTATCTAAAAAGGTGTGTTTTACTGGGTGGGAGAAGGAATGGGACTTATGTATCATATCTCCCTTTCACAATTGTGAGAAAATTAAGCACTCAGCATACATACTTAGCAACAGATGCCCACGGTATAAGGTATTCAGCTAAATAAGGAATTTTGGAGAAGTAATGATTTCTTTGAAAGTTTAAATGTGTGGGTATAGTAGAATAAATGTCAGAGCATGTTGGTGGTTTTCTTAAGTTGATAACTTACCCAGTCCCCTGTTTGGAGGGAGGGGAGGATGCTACAGAATATTTCTGGAGCCCTGGAGTAAGGATTTGGGGTAGAAGGCAAGGAGGGAGTCACTGTTACTGTTTACTTCAAATTCACTCAGGATTTGTAAAACAACAACAACAACAACAACAAACCTAGTGACTTAGAGTGAATGCTAATGAAGAGGTGGCGTTGTGATAGGAAAAGAACATGGGCCTTAGAGGCTGACCTTGGGTTCAAATCTCAGTTCTGCTGTGTGACCTCGGCTGCCATTTAACTTTTTAAAGTCTAAGGTTTTTTTATAATGTGAATATAATACCTACACTGCAGAGTTGTGAAAATTAAGTAAAACATAGTAAAAGCACTTAGGACTCAGAGGGTACTTAATTCATGGTTACTCCTTCCTCCAGCCCTGTTTTGTGTAGGGAAAGACAGGCAAGGAATGGAGAACCCCTTCCGCGAGGGGGTGAAGCAGCTGCAGAGCCGGGTCAGGGGTGAGGAAGGCCAGGGCAGCGTTTAGATGCCTCAGCACCCCCACCTCCACCCTGGTGCACACAGAAGCGATCAGAATTCATTCTGTTTAATTCTTTGTTGGAGATTTATTTCTTTAGTTAAATATGTCACAGAATGCAAATTTTCTGGGTAATGGAAACACACTGAGCATTAGAAGTATATGAATTAAATTATTGTCTTACCACAAGAAAAGCTTTGATAAGAAAAGGAGAACAAGGGAGCAGTGGGTGCCTGGTGACTGGGAAGGGGAGGAGCATGGTAAAGAAAATAAGAGACCTTGAACTAGGAGCTGGAGCCAAAGAACACACCTACCCAACAGCTCTGCCAAGAGACAGTTGTCATTACAGGTTCATTCTTATGGTTTCAAGCTATTTAGTCTCCCTAGCCAAAGGACACACCCAGTTGCACTGTGCCAGGGAAGGAGGTTTGTAATTTGGGTACACAGTTCATTACACTTTCCTCATCAGTTACCCAAAGGCGGCTAGGAGACCTCCCCTCCTGGCTTCCTCTGGATTTGTCCTTTAAGTCTAAGGCTCAGCTGTCCACTGTTCAAATGCCCCAACTCCTTTGAGACTTAGAAGCATTGATGGTTTTCAGAGATATGTGGCTAAGGATGCTCCATTTCATGCCACTTGAGATTCTGAACCAGCCCTTGAACAACCCTTGGCCTCTTAGATTCCTTTCCCCCCTAAGAGTTTGCACCCTCGTTGATGTCAGGGCTCATTGGACTTGACCTTTCGTCAGCTGTGGAGCAATGAAAGCTGCAGGCAGTCTCAATGTTCTTGGCAGAGCTCTCAGATGAAAGAATACAAGAAGGATCAGCAGGAGGTGGTTGTTTTTAAAACCCATTTGTGCCTTATTATATAATAGATTGAGACACATGGAATGCTAGAGACTCATGGCAAAAAGCCAACACAATTTTGTAAAGATAATTAAGTTTCAATTAGTAAAGTGGGGATATGAAAGCCTACTTCATAGGGTAATTAAGAGAATTAGAGGGAAAAAAGTATGTAAAGCACTTAGAAAAATACCTGATATTATAGTGCAGTTTTAAAATATATTCCAGCCCTGGCCAGTTTGGCTCAGCAGTGAGAGCATCGGCCTGTGGACTGAAGGGTCGTGGGTTTGATTCCGGTCAAAGGCGCATACATGGGTTGAGGTTTGATCCCTGGCCCCAGTTGGGGTTGTGAGGTAGGCAACCAGTCAATATGCCTCTCATATCAATGTTTCTCTCTGCCCCCCCCCACTTTCAAAAACAATGGAAAAAGATCCTCAGGTGAGGATTAACAAAAAATAAAATATATTCTAAAACACAAAATTAATAACACCACTGATAACATTTTTTCATAAAGTAATTGTAACAGCATATAACTAACAGGATGTTACTGTTAACAAAGCTATGATAAAATGTACTTTGATTCTATCCATGGGATACCAAACTTGAGGATTTAATAAAAATAATTAGCTTTGAGCCCTGACTGGTGTGGCTCAATGGTTAGAGTGCCAGCCCGCACACAGAAGGGTCACAGGTTTGATTCCTGGTCAAAGGCACATACCTTGGTTGCAGGTTCAATCTCCACACCAGTTGGGGCGTGTGTGGGAGGCAACCAATCTATGTATTTCTGACTCTCTTTCCCTCCCTCTCTCCCTCCCTCCTTCCACTGTCTCTAAAGAGCAATGGAAAAATATATTCGGGTGAGAATTTTTAAAAAATAATTATCTTTGAAAGGTTGGAACCCTACCATTAGTTGTCAGGGAAATGCAAATAAAACTATAATGACACAGGTTCAGACATTTGGTGTATATGCTTGGCTAAGGAGCCTGTGGGGTGAAGCTATCATCTGTGGGATTGTCTCTAAGCCAGCATCCACCGAGGCAGAATGATAGGGCAGAAGCTGAACTTTGGTTTGCTGGTACCCCACTGTTTCTGCAGGCAGGTGGCCAAGTGCTCCCCAGGTGTTACAGGGGCATGCTGGACTGAGTCTGAGCAGAGAAACGGCCTAGCTGGAAATGGGACTGTCCCCTCATGTCTCATGCAATGCATGTTCTTGGGGAACCTGGTGCTAAAATAGACCTGCCTCCGAGTCAGGGTTGCCATGTAACAGAGCTGCTCGTTCACTGTAATCTGTTGAAAGCCAGCCCTCAACACAAGGGTTTGAGAGGGGAAAAAAATTAATAAAAGCAAACACAAAATGAAAAAGAAGGAAAGAAAAATGAGCCATGGCCAGTGTTTCTCAGTGATTAGAGTGTCAGTCTGTGCGCCGTAGGGTCTCAGGTTTGATTCCTGGT